AGCGATGCCAGGAGCCCCTAGTAGCTTCTTGTTACTACTAGTAAGGCACTTGTTACTATATAGTAGCTTCTTGTTACTACTAGTAAGGTGCTTGTTACCAGTAGCGATCTTCTTGTTTCTCCTAGTAAGGCGCTTGTTACTAGTATCCCAAATGATCTTTGGGTCTCAGACGTTGAGCTGGTTTTCTTCTTGGCTTCTGACTCTTCGTTTCCAGTTGAGTCTCCTGACGGACAAATGCTGCGATTTCTTTTCAAGTCTGCCAACCACCGCTCACCAAACTTTTGAAACCTGTTGCTGGTGTGGAGCTTGGTCTGCTTTGAAAAGGAAGGGTCTACGCTACTTGGATTCCTGAAGATTTTGGTCTTGACGGCGCGGGGCCTCTCTAGGCCGCTGCCTTGCGAGGGTCGCCGGAAGTGTCGGACGCGACAGCGAAAAGACACGCGCAATGTTGTGATGTCCGTGGGGCATCCGCTTTGCCATTCGGAGTGTTATGAAGGGTTTGCAGTGAGTGTCAGGTAGCGACGTGAAGGTGACATCAAAGCCGAGCTGCCGAGCTGGCACTTCGGCTTGTGACGGAGCTCGTGCCCTGCCGGTCGAGGCGGAAACCGTGAAGCAGTGAACGCCACGAGCCCGTGAGGCGTTGGCTGGACAAAGCAGAAGTGGTGAAGGCTTTTTCCCATGTGGGGCTCTTCAGGTCGATGCCCCTGAAGGTGGTCATGGAGATGAACGTATGCATGACATTGGAGCGTTCATTGCACAGCGATTTTGAGGGTTCGGCAACCCCGAGAGTCCTAACTTGAAAAAAATCAATTAAAAAATCAAGATCAATATTTTGGAGAAAAAATCAATATTTTCCAAAAACCACATGAAACAAAAATATTGAAAATAGAATCAATAAAAGTGTAAAAGAATTATCAATATTTTTGAACTTAAAAAATCAATCTTTTGAATTTGTAAGTTAAAGGTGTCTGTATCAACACAACATATATCATATACCTACCATATTCATGTGCTCCCATATCATCTACCTTCTGCAGTCAACCTCAACTTTGCAAAGGCCCTTTGCAGGTCCTTCTTCTAAACAATGACACCATGCAGCCAGCATTCTGCTAAAGGCCCTTTGCAGGTCCTTGCTCTAAACACTGTCAC